TGCTCAATTTGCAGTTTTGCAGGGAACCCTGACACACTGAGGATGGCAGAGAGAAACACGCTTGGAATAGTCTGGATCGTTGATGTGGTTGTCACTGACTCAAACTCCAGACCACCTGCCTCTGGGCTTCTGGGCTTCTATTATTCAGGTCACTTTTTAAAAAAGATTTATTTATTTATTTAGTTTAGTGTGGGGGTTGGGGGACAGAGAGAGAGAGTATGCATGAGCAGGGGGAGGGGCTGCAGGAGGGGGATACAGAAAGAATCCCAAGCAGACTCACCGCTGAGCGCTGAGCCTGACTCTGGGCTCAATCTCATGACCCTGAGGTTATGACCTGAGTCAAAAATCAGGATTCAGAGGCTTAACTGACTGAGCCACCCAGGCGTCCCTCAGGTCACTTTTAAATTACACATTCTATTACATGCAGCCAACCACATTTTAATTAAATAGGGTATCCGATTTTTCACATTTAAGAAGTACTAACTTGGCAAAAGGCTAACGCGATTATAGTTGCATTATAGGTCATTTTGTTACCTGATGGATACCTGCCTTCACCAGCTCTCCTTTTTGGTAACCCAACGTCTGTGAATTTCTCTACAATAGTTGTAATTCCAGAATTCTTAGCACCCTTTCCCTACGGCATTTTTTCAAACCTCATGAAAAGCCTTTAACCGTCTCTAGCTTGCATTTTAACCTTCCCTAGATTCTTTATTTCTTTGCCGCCTCTCCCACCAATCAACACGAAGCAGCCCATTAGATCCAGAGGGGTTCCCTGCTTAAGCAGCCGGGGCTGTTTGCACCCAGTGTGATTTCCTCACTCCCCACCTCCATGTGTGCTTACTTTCTGCTCAGGGATCACATGGTTTGATTTTTATTATTATTTTAATATATACACAGGACTTTTTAATACCTAAGTTCCCAGAGAGGTGGGAATCGTGTGTTTTCTCTAAACTTAATGGCGTTTTTCTCTATTCTTACAATGTTTGCTATACAAAGTAATGGTTTATAACAGACCAAATCAAACACATGGAACAGAAAATCCCAATGTATAACTGTTCTATGAAAACGGGATATAAAGTTGCCTAATTTATGGATAGCAACCTGCAAAGAGCTGTTGAATAACTAGGCTACTGAGCACACTATCTTAGTTCAGTATTCATGCTCTTCTACTAGCAAAAATATTTATTAGAATATTTAAAAGCAATATATGCTTATATAGGAAATTTGGAAAAGGCAGATAAAAAGAAACACATATTACCAATGACCCTGTACTCTGAAACAGTGTTGTTAACCTTTCAGTGTTTTACTGTCTCATTATTTTTTCTTTGCATAGATTTCACTGGGAGTTGCTTTTTCTTTCTTTCTTTCTTTCAAAGATTTTTATTTGAGAAAGAGAGCAAGAGAGTGTGAGCACACACAGAGGGAGAGGGAGAGAGAGAGAAGCAGACTCCCTGCTGACCAGGGAGCCCGATGCAGGGCTCCATCCCAGGACCCCGGGATCATGACCTGAGCTGAAGGCAGATGCTTACCCCGTTGAGCCACCCAGGCGCTCCTCAGTGGGAGTTTCTGTGTATTTGTTTGTTTGTTTGTTTGCAACCATTGGCCAGGCAAAACTGAAGTGGAAGGAGAAAATGAAGGGGTGTGTTAGAAAAGGCTCCCTCAAAACTCCTCCTGAGCCCCTAGTCATCATGGAAGAATAATTACAATTTTGATGGCTTATTGGGTTCATGATGTCCTTGAGTTCCCAAAATAACACAGTTATGAACCAATGTTATCCTTCATATTTTATTTTTATTTTTTTTGAAATTTTATTTATTTGATAGAGAGAGAGAGAAAGAGAGAGTGTGAGTACAAAAGTTGGGGAGGGGCAGAGGGAGAAGCAGGCTCCTGGAGGAGCAGAGAGCCCGATGCGGGACTTGATACCGGGACCCTGGGATCATGATCTGAGCTGAAGGCAAATGCTTAACCCACTGAGACACCCAGGTGCCCCTCTTTTTCATATTTTAAAGATGAGGTACGCAGGTTAGGGAATTCAGGAGTTTGCCTGAGGTGAAACAGCTAAGACCTGATGCTGGACATGAAACCCCGCATCTGACTTGTTTTCCAAGCAGGTCTTCTTTTTTTTCTGGTGCTTTTCTGCAATTACCAAACCATCAGAACCAGTGCGCAGTTGCTGGTTACTTGGTTTCAGTCCCTTGTGTTTTATAAAGGAGACTATCAAGAAGAATGCTCTGGAAATGAATGTTCTTACTTATTCTTTCTGGGTTCTTGTGAAGAAGTCTCTGTGTCTTCTCCCTCCATGCCATCCGTGTGTGTGTGTGTGTGTGTGTGTGTGCGTGTGTAGGCCTTATTTAAATGAGCAAGACCTAGTACTAAACATCATGCAGATCACTCTAAATGGTGACCACCAACAATTGCTGAGATCCTAAATTCTAAGAGTTTTGAGGTACTCCTTGATGAAAGATAAGGTCTCTGACTTCCTGCTCCCTATCTCAAGTGCCATCTTTAAAAGCAAGGCCACGCTCTGGGGTCCCCTCCACCTTTTAAACAGGGTGAATCTTTCAGGGCAGAGCAAAGAGGAGAGATTCTAGAGCCTAAAACTGACAGAGGACAGCCAAAATCAGTTTTATTTGGCATGTGTTTGCTTTCTTAAGCCTGAATTGTAGTCAAAACTGGACACAGCTGTCGTTTCTCAAGATTTCACTCCCAGACTGAATGTTTGGATTTCAGCTCATTGTTTAATAGTTCTAGAATTCGACTGGTCACCGTGAGGCAGGAAGGTTAGCACTCCATTAAGATGGATGGGGAAAGTTCACACCTCTCACTTTTATTTTATTTCTTTGCTTTTCTTTCCATTTGCCTGCATACTCAGCAAAGCTGAAGCCCGTTCACTACACAGTCTGTTTTTATACCCACTAGACTGAAAAGTTGATTTACTGAAGAACTTGGATTTTGCAGGAAAAGGAAAAAAATCCACAATGAGTTTTAAAATCTGCAAAATACGATGGGATTATCAGAGGAATAAGAAACCTTAAGCTAGGGGTGCCTGGGTGGCTCAGTGGGTTAAGCCTCTGCCTTCGGCTCAGGTCATGATCTCAGGGTCCTGGGATCGAGCCCCGCATCAGGCTCTCTGCTCAGCAGGGAGCCTGCTTCCTCCTCTCTCTCTGCCTGCCTGTTTGCCTACTTGTGATCTCTATCTGTCAAATAAATAAACAAAATATTAAAAAAAAAAAAAGAAATCTTAAGCTAGATCCTTTGGTTTTTAAATCAATCCCCAAAGAGGTTTTAAAGCCCATACACTTTTGGATGGTTCTTCTGGACGTCTCTATAATTATTCTTCATAGAATATCTACTAAGAGGGAGAGCTAAGACCGACATTTATGTAAACTAGGAAGCCAGTGCATTTTTGTTCAGTTAGCTTTAATGAATGTTGATTGGAAAGCATGGAAGGAAATTAACCTTCACTGAGTGCCTACTACGTGAAAGCATCATGCTAGGTATCAGGGGAGACCATGAAGGGTAACACCTAGGTTCAGTCTGGTCCCTTTGCTCTGATGAAGAAAAAACATACACGATTTTCTCTAAAGCGTCAGACTCTGAGAAGTATTATGGTATGGATTCCTGCAACAGGCCCATGGAGAAAAGGACAAGTTCATTGCGAACCGAAACATTTAGAAAAGCTTCTTAAAGGTGAGATTCAAAGGGAATTTGGCAGTTCTGCGGGAACAAGGTTAGCTGGGTGGGGGAGATCTTTTAGTAAAGGGGTTAAGGTAAACTGGCATAGGCGATACTGACAGCTGAGAGCTCCAGTCAGTCTCCTGGACCGAATACAGCAGAGATACACTTAATGTCCTTCAACTCCATGCCCCCTTCCTCAACATACAGAAAGTCTACATTCCCCAGCCTCCCTGTGGTAACATGAGATCATGGGACCGTCTTTCTGCAAAGGGAATGAAGGTAGAGTGATTGTAGGCCATATTCTTCTAACTTGTTGGTTAGCTGTTCACAGATTCCAACAGAGACCTCTGAAGAAGGCTTGGCGTGTGGGGTTCTATACAATGGAAGCACCCAGGCTGCTGGAATCATCAGACAGAAGAAGGCTGCCCTCCCAATACCTAATGAGGCCATGAAGGGAACAAGAATTATTCGGTAAGCCACTGCAATTTGCGAACTAGCGTTAGAGTGGAGACGGTAAGGCTGGAAGGGTGGGTGTAAAAGGCCTATGAAACTCTCTGGAAGCAAGTCATTTATAAGAATTAAGATAATAAATTAAATCAAATAGTAATAAGGTTTGAATTAATACATGCCAGCATCAGCAAGAAGCATAGGTCATTCTTTTCAGTGCAGATCTCCATGAGTCATGATTTGGGGGGGGGGGCTGGTTTTATGTTTACAACTTAATTTGGGGTCCAAAGTAAAAATGTCAGGAAGGGGGTTCCTTCTTCAATAAAGGGGGTACTTGGCATTTCATAGCTTATGGAAAGAAGAAAAGAACTTGGTGCTCCCTAAGAGGGAGTCTAAAGCTGGCTGGCTTGGGACTATTTTAAAAATACATTTTATTGCTTTTCTGATTATGAGAGTAATATATATTCCTTGTAGAAAAATTGAAAATATAAAAGTGTCAATGGAATAAAATAATAACCATTTGTAACTCACCACGTTCTGGTGTGTTCCATGCCAGTCCTCTTTCTCTCTATCTCTCTACATGTAGCATATATAACTTAAATATAAATCATTGAATTACACTATTTGTGCTATGTATAATATATGATCTGTTTTTGCCATTAAAATTCTTCATAAACTTCCTCTAAATTGTGCTGTAATTTTTTCATTATATGAATATAACATAATTTTTGGCATTTCCCATAAAGGTGGACACGATTTTTCCAGGGTGTTTTCCTTTCCTTATTTTAACAAGAACAGATCTCATTATTCATAAATATTTGCCTCTTATTATTGACTAGCCTTGATTATTTTTTTAGGTGAGATTCCTAATAGTAGAATTTGACTATGAAGTCAAAGAGTTTGAAAATCTGTAAAAGACACCGATGAGTACAGGAAACCAACTTCCTTGAAAGGTTGCAGAAGTTTGTTTTCCGGCTAACAGAACAGGAGACGACCTGTCTTACCACACTCTCATCTGCATTGAACGGTATCACTAAAAAAAAAAAAAAAAAAAAAAAAAATTATCTACTACTTTTTATGGTTTTCTTCACGGACCAAAGACACAAGGGTAATAAATCCATGCTGTGTCTGCTAACTAATTTTCAGTTGCCAAAGAGGCGGTCTTCTGCAAACATGGGTATAAATGTTTCATTTTAAAGCACCCCAGGTGTCCCCTGATCATAGTATATAATAAGCTGGTTGCATTTAGTAGAGGTTGGACTAAACTATGATGACAAACCATCTTAAAATCTCAGTCTTTTAGTAGACTTCTATTTCTTCCTCAGTCTCCTTGTACTACAGGTCAATCGTTGGCTCTTTGCCCACCCATGAGTGCTCTAACCTTGAAAAGGGAATATGGTACATCATGTTTTTGCTCCTGAAGTTTTTACCTGGAAGGGAACATGTCACTTTTTATAGCTCTGTGGCCAGAGTAAGCCATAGGACCTCCCTGACCACAAGGGTGTGGGAAAGGACAATGCCGCTCTGTGCCCAGGAGCAGACCAGGAAATAGTCACTTGACCACACTAATGACCAGCACACCTGATTGACCTTGAACCTTGGAGGAAGGGGCTGCATCCATAGCTAACTTCCTAGAGTGACTTCTAAAAGTGTTCCTTAGTGCTCTTTTCCCTTCTGAGCTTCGAAGACAAGGGTCAGCAAACTGCGGCCTGTGGCAACAAATGTACCCTGCTGTCTGCTTTTGTCTGGCTTATGAGTTAAGAATGTTTACATTTTTAACAGGTTGGAAAAACTCCAAAGGAAAATAATATTGTATAACAAATAAAAAATGATGTGACATGCGTGTATTCATAAATAAAGTTTTACTAGGACAAAGCCATTGTTACTTGTGTAATGCTGCCTGACTGCTTTTGTGTTATAAGTGATTATTTCCTAGATGTTTCAAATTCAGCTTATTGGATTCAAAACAAAAAAGGTTTTTTTTAAAAAAAAATCTTGTCAGGGTGCATGTGCGTAGCTACTGTGGCTGTGGTTGAGCCATGGATGGAAAGAAGAATGAGACCCAACAGCCAGATCCTACTGGAATTAGAGACAAAGGCCTTTGGAGGTACCTGGAGGCTGCCGAAATTAGGTTGTCTGCTAGACTACACCAGTTTCTCACTGGGGTCTTTCACCTCCCTGAGGATTTGCTATCTCAGTCTGCTCAGTGTTTCAGAATAGACCTGGATGCAAACAGAAGCCCTCATTGCTTTCCGTTAACATGAAGAAATAGAAAACAAAAGGAAGGAAAGATGGGTTCCCCGACTGCAGGAAAAAACCCAGGTTTTACCATTTCCTTCCCCAGCCTGTTGTTGCTGGAAGACGTCATTTCACTTTCAACTGTGATTTTAAAAAGATGTTTTGGATTTTTCCTCTGAGCTTTCATAAGCGTTTAAATAGAATTGGCTTTCTGGGTGATTTACCAGCTGCGCTGTGTGAAGTTTTCAGTATATGCTTGTTCCATCCATTGTCAACATACTCCTTGTGTTAGAACTGGGATTTCTGAAGTAACGTGTTGGTCCAGTGATGGAATGCCATTTCTCTTCGTTTAGTGTCCAAGCAGTAATGCACCAGTTAGTAATGCTAGGAACGAGATGGGAGGCTCGGACGTTCGTATTCCAGCTGAGGTCAAGATCTATTCTTTTTAAAAGGTCAAAATGACATTTCTAATACCCATGTATATAGATTCTATTTATTCGTGCACTTAAATGAACTCCTTTCTAATCCAGCTTCCATGACCGCCAAAGACTTGCTCTGAAAGGCATTTTCTTCTAAACTAGCCATCACTCACATCTACTTCTCATTGAGGGGACACTCACGGTTTGGTGCCATTGTCAAAAGTATAGGAAGTTAGTTTTATCTAATGTCAGAGGGTAAGTCGCACCTGGGTTGGCAACAGACACCTGTGATAGCTGCTTTCCCTTTCTTCTCTTGAGATGGGTTCTTATTTCATTCTCTTCCTTTTCGCATTTGGCCAGTTTTCTTCTAAAAGCCCAATAAAAGTATTGAGCACTCTATGACTTTCAGATGGAGATCACTGTTAGAATATTGTTTGTGTGTACACCTCTAATTACACGATGCGTCTGGACACATCTCACTAAGGATTAAGTGGCTATGATTTCCAATCTAAGAAAACATGATTTGAGGAGTGTACTCATGAGGACGGTGGGACAGAACTGTTGAAAGTTTTAGGTCACCCAGGAAAATCTAGGACATATCGTTGTTCTGCCCATGGAGTACCGGCCTGGCCATGTAGAACACAGGAGATGATTTGGGGCTGAAAAGAAACTGATATTGTGATAATAACAATAATGTGTTATGGTCATAGGGTAGTGTCACTTACACGACCTCATTTAATACTCTCAATTTTCCTCTGAAACAGGGAGGCAAGTGTTATTATCCAAATTTCATAAATAAGAAAATTGACTCAAAGTGATTGCATGACTCACCTAAGCAAGTCATACTGGGTAGACATAAGATCTAGTTCTTTGCTCTTGGCTAATTGCATTCTTTTGTGATGTTATTTCCTCAAGACTGGTAGTATAAGGCACTGGCCACAGGATATCCTCTGATGTAGGACAGTAGGTGGGTTTATCTTTTTAAAAGAAATCCTTAATTCAGATTAAGGCTTGAATCTTTGAGTTGGGTTCTGTTTGATCAAATCTTTATTGCACAACTATACTGGATACTTTCCAAAATCAGGACTAGCTCCTTTCTCTAGCTTTGGCCCAATTTTTATTTCACCTAAAATAAGGTATTTCTAGATGTCAAGAAACCTAAAAACCAGTCAAATCATTATTATGTTGCCCATTTATTTTTGCCTCAAAACTTTATTATACATTATTTATTCCTTACCACATGGTTTTCAGTTCTCTATGCAATTTTAATCATATATATGATATATATATATATATATATATATATATATATATATATATATATATA